GTGACTAGTTAAAAGAAAAAACAGAAACCTTTATAAATCCTGTGTACTTAGATCAAGAATGCTGTTTTATTATGTGTGTAATAATTGTTCTCATATTCTCATGTGGATTTCTTTTGAGTCTGTAAGTATTTGTAATGAACACTAAAAGTTAAACACAAAATTAAAAATCCTGTTATTAGTTGTTTTCATTTATTACCACAAGAGGGCAATGCTGCCCTTCTCAACAGCATTGAAAATAAACTGGAAAACAGTTTGCCATCTCTTTGCCAGTTCGTTTCCAAAAGTTTATGTGTTATTTAGGTGGACTGCTTACAGTGCAAAACCATTTTCTTTTCCCCAGAGAGCATTATGCACATTATGCATGGGCTCAGTACTGCAATTGCCTAATTTCTGACCTAGTCAGGCCTAGAGGCTTTTTTTTTCACCCCTTGAACTATGTATTTTGTCTTTCATATATATCTCAGTACTGCCCAGTGTTGTCCTGGGAGTGCAGTCTTGACACAGTTTCCTGGCTTAGCCTTCAAAATTGAGTTGAGAAGGGAGAACTTTCAATATTAATATAATGGCGTTTGGCCTGAAAAAAGCTGTGTCCTTGGCTGAAGACTGCCTTCAGTTTCCTTTGAGTGTTGGCAGTTGCTTTTTTCAGTGTATTAACTGGTCATATTTTTTTTTAAAGTACTGAAAATGCATTGAGTTACAAAAAGTATCTCAGACATTAATTCAAAATGAGAATTTCAATCTAACATCCCAGTAGGTGTCCTATAAGACACTTAAGCAGCACTTACACTTAGATGGTCACTTGGGGTATTTAAAACTTCAAACATTTTTTTCTTCATTTTCTGTCATACTGCTCCCCCAAAACTGCAAGTGCAGCAAATAACCATGGCTCTTGTCATCCAAGGCTCTGCTTGCATTGGTGCCATGAACACTTTAATTTAAAGCCACTGAAAGAACCTAGAGAAACCAATCACGCTCTTCTCTCTCTCCATCTTCCAAGCCAGAGCTGCCTGTGATTCTTAAGAGACCAAGTTTTGAATCCTGGATTTATTCTATGGCTAAGGAACCACATCAGAGGATATGGGAGTGTGTAGTTCTAGATTAGGGATCACCTACAAAGCTGTTCTAAAAGATGTTCCTACACCATACACATCCAGGCTCAACTGACTGGGAATTGTTTGGGTAAATAAAAACACTTATTGTTGGTTTAAGTTTTGTTTCAGCTGAGAGTGAAAGCAGGAACTACTGCAAGCAGTAGTGTGCAACTGATAAGCTACATGACATGTATCATTAAACAGTAAGGCTGAGAGCCACATAGATTAGAGCTGCTCTCTCCTTATGGATGTCTTCCCTGTCTTTCTTATTGCTTAGTGCAGCACTAAGTTAATGTGAACCACAACAGTTTTGTCCTTTTTTTCTCCAATCCTAGATGTTTACTTCACCTCAGAGTTAAAATGCACCTTTTCACATAGATTATCTAGACAGTTGATATTTTGTTTACATCAGTACAACTTTTTTTTCTTCATCTGCTTGCACTTCAGACACTGGCAGGCCAAAGCCCATTGCTGGTAAATGGGACTGAAAAGCTGACTCTCTGTGACTGTGATAGCATCATCTTTGGAAACCATTTGCCAGTCCATATGGTTAAAATACACATATTATGCTAGAGAGAGAGTGTAGCAGATGTCTTGAAATTTGGGAAGACAGAGAAGCTGTGTCTCCACAAGGATGGGCAGCATCACAGTTGACCCTGAGGAACATAGATTACTTCAGCGTGTGGATTTGGCACAGCGACAAGACTAAATACTTGAGACAGAGCTCATCAGGTATAAGCAGTGCCAGAAGTTTTTCCAGAGTCTGGGAAAGCCTGTCCAGCCCTATCAGCATTAGTGTGATCCCACTTGTCTGTTCCAGCTTACCTTAGTCAACATGCCACAGGCTAAGAAAGTAGGAGACAGAGCAAAGAAGCAGCACTGTACCTCCTTCCCTTGTCAGGTACTGTGAGGCTGCTGCCAATTAGGCAGTACAATGCATAAGCCCAAAAAGAACCAAACCCTTGTCAGCATCTCTGGGAGATCCTTCTCTAACTCTGTGGTGTGGCAAAACAGCTCATCTTCCAGATCGAAAGTGAACATGTGTAATGAATTCAGGACTGAGTCTTCAGTTATGAGAAACTTGCTATGTATATAGTCTCATTTCACACATCTCCACCAACACTCCTTTAACTAGCTGCCATAAATTTTCCTTACCTTCTCTAAATTGCTGGTGGAAAAAAAAAGATGGTACTGCAAAGGAAGGAGCAATTATCCCTATAATAAAAATGCGAAAAAGCTCTATCCTGTCATACAGGATACATTGTGATATTTATATCAGTGATGTAAACAATCCTGCTTGGAAAAAAATCTCCAGGTAATGTATGAATAGCAAGGTGACAGAATGCACTTCCTATAACAAGCAATAACAGATATCACAGTTATATTTCCAAAGTTTGAATAGCTTCCAGCATGGTGAGGTGTATTTGACATTATACAATAATAATGTGTTTTGTACATAAATTTTACATAATTTATCCATTTTGAGATTAAGCACAGTTTATTCACAGGCAGCTCCCATGGGATTTGGTCTGCGAGGACTTTGAGAAAAGGCTTTGTTGCAGCTCCTATCACTTAAACTTTTTAGGACTTCAGCCTCCTCAACATTCACATTCAGCCAATTTGCACAGCAATATAGTTAGCTAAAATCACTATATGATGGAAAATGACCTAAATCTGTTCTGCCTCCACCACTGCAACAAGAGCTGTATCCTTTGAGGAAGATTCTAATGCTCAGCTTTAGCTTTATAAATTGAGCCATAATGTTCTAATAAACTAACAAATGTTTTTTACATCAGGCAGTACTGGCAATACTTTAAAATAAAATCTTACAGTCTCCCATTCTGGAACTGGCAAAGTTGAAGTTTTAAGTGAGGAAGACTTTTTAAAAGACATTTGAGTACCCCAAAACAAAAAGAGACTATTTTGATAGGTACATGTGAGAGCTATAGCTGGTCTACAGCTGCACAGATAAAATTAGCCATGACAGACACCAACTCAACCAGCCTGGCTCCTTAGGGAATAGAAGTAAACAAGTCTCTGGGTATGTAATGATAGGTCAGATTCAAACAGGACCCCAGCCAATCCCTTTGAACCATGAAGGCACTCATATCATTGGCCAGTGCTCTGGGCAGAGTTAAGACCCCTAACCAATCATGTACGAAAGTGTGGGAAATTTGAAGGCCCTATAAAAGAGGGTGCCCAACAATAAAATTTGGCTGTTGCTGCATGAACCTGGTGTGTTCTTGTTGCATTCCTGTCTCCAACATCAGCGACAGGTACAGTTCAACACATAAAGGGGTTCATGTTTAGTTTAAAATCTTGATTTGGATTTACTGGGACTGTTGAAATTTACTATTAAAATAAACCCATTTTTATAATTATCTGCTCTGATTTTTTAATATGTAAACACCTTCAAATATTTAAAAAACCAACATAATAATAGCAACACAAACATAGTCTTGGATGATGGAAATAAAGGTTGAACCTGAAGGTCTTGGAAGTCTTTTCAATGTTAATGATTCTATGAAATCCAGCTAATTGTGTTTAAAAAAATAGCCATTATCTCTAAATAAATATCTCACATTTTCATGAGTGATTTTTTTTTTCATTTGAAAATAGATCTCTCTGTGCTTATATTAAAATAATTATTTTTTTTCAGCTATGCTACATTCTTTCTAAAATTATGTTCCTTGTGGTCTGTTTTCTGCTCCCTTATAGAGGACATATGACAACTTCTATGACAGCTGAGACTTCCTATGGCTTTTCATAAGATTTATTGCTTGAATATGTGTTTAATCTTTGTAGAAAGTGTTTCAAAATAAGAACAAAAGGCTGCAACTTTGGAATTATGTCCTGCTACTTTGTCTGCTGCACCAAGCAATTGTGAACTGTATGCAGCAGTTATTTTTAAATGGTGAGGTAGGCCTTTTCCACAGAAGTAAGATACAACATGCTGATTTTAATAAGGCACAGAACATGAAAGGTGGCCTTGATGCTTTCTATCTTACAGACATTTTGCTGTTAAGGACCACAGGAGCAGACTATAGGACCATTTTTTTAAAATTTAACATCAGAAAATAGAGAAAAATACTAGTCAGTACTAAATTAAATTATTTCAAGGATGCTTTTGAATTTTTTTCCCTGCAAAGAAAAATTATTTTTCAATAAAATTTGGGTATTTCTGTGTTACCTGTTTGCCCCTTTCTTTGTGCAGCTCATTATTAGGGCAGCAAGCAGTGTTGTGTATTGTCGGCATCCAGTCAGTAGCAGCAAAGTGGAGATGAGAGATTACAAATAATAAGAGCTCCAAAATGTATGAGTACCTAAAAAAAATTATTTTTTAAATTTATACAGTCATCAAAACAATCCTATAAAATGATCTTTACAGGATGTTACAAGGCACATAAATTACCAAATATAAACATAGAAAAGTAGCCAAAACAATGAACTGAGCCCACAAAAACCTTTAGCTATATTACAGTTGTGTGAATGATTTATGAGAATGTGAATCACTCTATTTATAGGGTAATGAATATCTCACATTTAACATGACCAACAACATTAAAAAGAAAGGGAAGGAAAAGGTCATATCCAAGAGCAGTGCCATATTTTGTGACTCCATATTTGCATCTTCTGAAGCTCCTCCTTGGGTCTGAAGACTGTGCACCTGTTACTGGTTCCCTTACAGGCTGTAGAACATCACTTCATCGGTATGACCAAACCAGCTCCACTGACTGACAGAGGAAGGGGCAATCTCTCCACTTTCCCATGCTTTTACATTGGGCAACTTTGTGAAAAACAGAAAGGATCTACAAATAGATTGAACACTCAGTATTGTCTTCAGCTTTAAATAGTGAAATGGTGTGAAAGGGTTTCTTTTTGCTTTTAAGTAATAGCTTTGAGAAGTTCTTTGGCATGCAATAAGCCATTATATTCTACTAATTAAGAGAAGATTGCAAAACATACAAATAGCAAATTTTTATTTCATTTCAAGGGACATTACCAAATAATTTCCCCAAATACCCATTTTCCACCTGCATACATATATTTCCACTAGCCTAACAGTCAGAGATTCAGAGTAATAAGATTTTCATACAAATATATTTCATTGTCTATTTTCTTCCATTAACAGGATCCATTCCTCTATGTAGCTCTAAGTATACATTCACATATTAAAGAGTAATAATTTGGCTAAAAATATATGTTTATTTATTATCTGATTGTAGTAATTAGCCTATCAAGGGTAATTTCCTATAAAGGATACAGTACTAGAAATAAATAGTTAGTTCTAAATTCAAAGATCTTCAAAATGGGGTGTCATTTCCAGTCTGTGTTAAATTTTCCGAAGTCCTTTTAAAGCATTAACTAAATTCACTACACTTGGGAGAATAATTTGGACCTACATACATGAAGTCCCACCCACATGAGAAGCTTATTTCACTGAATCTCCTTCTTGGTTTTGTAATGGGCAGAAACAACCAGGTAATTGTCTGGATTCATGTCCCTGAGGTTTGGAGACTTGCTCTGGATTGGAGAAGTTTTCCCATCTGCTCGGGAGATTTGAAGCATTCGGCATGGGTCATGCTTCAGTAAGTAACCTGCAAAAGTCTCCCAGCCTCCTCCAACACGAACCATCACATGTTTGTTGTGCAGCATCTGAAATTACATAGGCGGGAAAAAACACAAACACTCTTGAGAGGCAACCATTAAACTGCTTACTTTAATTCAAAGTTAAAAACATATGATGGTAGTCCACAATAAAAGGAAAGGAAAATAGAGTGGTTTTATTTGCATTTTAAAAGTAAATTTAAAAAAAAATCTTTAAGAAAATGTGCTGGTATTTTAAACTAAAGATTTTCATATTTTATGTAAATAAATGCAATACATTTTTCTAGTCCTATAGCATGAAGTCTTTCTCTTCTTCAGGTGTTTAGTAGAAATATGCCAGGGAACATGACTACATTTAGATTATTTCTTTGAAAATATGTTAGTAAAGACACCATTTTATATTGTCTTGAAATTGGATTTTCTTTATAGGAATAGTGAAGGGCAAGCAACCAAAACAATTTCCTCTATCTCTGAAAAATTACCAAAAAAACAATTAAGAAAATGAAGTTCCATTTATCTTAAAAGTTAAGTCTTGCTGATAATACATTATAATGGAATAGTTTAAAGTTGTAATTAAAAGAATCCAATGAGGTACATCAGAAATAATTTATCTGTAATTGTCTGGAAACATCTGAATTTTCTGCCAAAATTTAAATAAAATTTTTCTCCAAGTGCCAGTGTACCTTCTCCCTGGCCTACCCTTGAGTTCAGTTGGTGATTGTACCCACTTCTCCCTTTTGTTTCTCCATGCAGAAATAAATACCAGTGAGGTATCATAAAGCAGTACAATCTATATTTTATTGGTTTATTTTATAATCAACATTGTAAATACCACATTGAAAAATGCTTTGATCAGGATATCTCGTGAAATGCTAAATATTTAGCTGTAGTACCAGAAATTAAAAATTAGTTCTGTAAAAGGCATCTAGAAGACATTTAACATGGTCTGGGTTTTTGAATTTGGATGTATGGCTGTGATGCCTATATGGACATGTTCAAAACTCCCTTGAGAGCTGGCAGTACTTGCAGTTGAGACTTACATGCTACGTAAACCTTTTGTAACACAGTATAGCAAACAAAACAGGAAACATCCCAAATCAAACAAAATCATACATAACAGAAGGCAAAAAATTAACTAAAAAAAAAAAACAACTCAAAAAAACCCCCACCTCAGCCTATTTGAATGCTGTGACATAAGGAGACAAATTCACGTGGAGTGAAGAAAACATGGCCAGCTGTACAACTTACTGAAGTTTGAAAATCAGGTTATGTAAGTAAGAAATGGAACTCTTCATTAGAATAAGCAGCTGCAGATTAAAATCTCATTTAACAGTTTTCATTTAAAACATTTTTACACAAGGAAATTCTTGCTTCTGCACTTTGGTTTTATGTGAAACATAATGGGAAATCAATTATGGATGCTGAAAAATAAAGTTACTTCTGATCCATCGCAAGGAGGTGCTCAAGCACTCTCAGTTTCATTAGTATCTCCCAGCTACTGAGTCTGCCCTGTTGCTCTGAGTTGCTGGGTTGGATGAATGCTAGCTTCTACAATAGCTGTACATGAATGAGGTTTTTCTCTAGATTTATGTGAGTGAAAACAGAATCAGACTTTGTCTTTCAAGGTTTGTATTTTAGTTTCAAGACTCTGATTTGAGCTGACAAGGGTATGCGACTTGAATCATGCCTTTAGTCTGAACAATATATCATGCAAGAAGCAAATGGTTTTTACATCAAGTTTGAAAATTTAAGTTCAAATGGTGACAGAGCCTTAAGACAATCTAGAGAATTTTATTTAGCAATTTTCTTCTCTTTGAACACCTTAAAAAGCATTTGAGGACTGCCCCAAAAACTTTCAACATTAGAACAACTTAAGCCAAACTAGTGCAATACAACATGGCATGAGGAGAGGTTAACTGTGCCTGAATTTCAGCTTCCCTATATTATCACAGAGGGATTCATATTCCAAGAGCAGTTAGTACCTGGACTTCTGATTAAGATGAAAAGCTAGCAAAAAGTATATGTGGTTCAATTTCCCTTACTGTCTAGTGTGCAAACACACTATACTGTATGGATGCTAACTCTGATGCAGGGAGCACGGTGCCTGTGGAAATTACAGGCCACATAGCTTTCTCAGTCTTGCCTGGGAAAGTGGCCTGGGAATTCATAAGGAGGAATTAAAACAATCCTCAGAGATAGAAAGCAGCCTTGCAGGTGCTGTTTATCTGTTTCTTGTTTTCTTGCAAGAGAAAGTCAAGGGGTGGTGAACCCCACTGACCAATGATGGTGAGTTTACTAACCAATAAGAGTTTTCTTTTCTGTACTTTTCACGTATCGGTCCATAAAAAAGACCTGAGGTAATAAACCGGGAGAAACTTCTCCAGTTCTGACTCCACGAGAGAGTCTATGTCGTTCTTTCACCGTTCCCAATAGAGCAATGCCTGGTGACCTCCAATGTGATGTGCATCTGGTGACCCCTGAGGGTTGTTGTAGTGCATCTAAAAATCTTGGTACCTCCCAAGGGTAAAACTCACCTCTGGTTTGTGTAATGTTAGTTCCTACCTGAGAACCTTCTTTCCCTTCCCCCTTCCCATTGGCTGTGACCTCCCTGCATCCCCTAATCACCCCTGCCCCCTGGTATAAGAGATAAGACCCAGAGCATTTCGGTCTCTCACTTGCCCTGGATGGACGACAGACAATAAACCCGGGATTATTCCAGCAAGTTTGAGCCTCCTGTGAGTCTAGATAGAGTCCATGTTGTATCCACTCCAGGACCCCCTCGGCCGCCTGCGCCTTGAGATGAGCAGGCTCTCACCACAGGGGGTGGGACAGAGGGGTCCCATTGGGGAGAAGGATTGCAACAGAGTGGCGCCTGGCTGTAGGGGCTGAACAAGCCCACGTTCAAAGGCTTATCAAAGCCAGGGTGAGCCGTTCTTTGGAGACTTTGGATGCAGTTTAAAAAATACAGCAAAAAAAGTTTCCGAAAAGGAGTCGAGAATCCTCCAGCACCAGGGGACCGATTCCAGGGCAACAAGTATCTTTCCACCGCCAGAAAACGACAGAAAAAGGTAAGATTGAACTCCGACACCGGGCTGGGAGGGGTGGAGAGTGAAACAGACCCTGGGGGACTGTGTTCTGTGTAACTCCTTCCCAGCGGCAGCAGCCCCGAGCGTGTGGGGTTCCCCCAGCCGTGGGCAGAGACGGAGGGGTGGGAGAGGGAATTCTCCCTGCTGCCTGTACAGTGTGAGTTTAATTGTAATCCTTTTGGTGCAACTTTGTTTTCTGTGGTAGGGAAAATAGACAGATTGTGTGCAGAGCTGCTGTGACCTCCAAAATGGGATCCCGGCTCTGCACACAAGAAAGGAGTCATACACAAAAAATACAGAATTTTTTAAAAACCACAAACGTAAAAATTTCAAAACATAAGATAAAACAGTTTGTATCATATTTGACTCAGCAATGTGAACAGATCAAATTGTTGAAATTAGATTCAGTAACTGCCTGGGATGAAATTGGAAATTTATTAACCTTAAAAATAGAAGGAGGAGACAAATCAGCCCTGAAATTCCTCCCGGTTTTTCTTTTAATTCGAAAAGAATTAGTTAACAGAGAAATAAAAACGGAAGACAAACAAACACCACAGTATCCATCTAACTTCCCTAACTTTTCCCCCAAAACCTCTGCTCCCCCAATGGAAAAGATACCCGAGACAAACAATATAAGTTCTAGTCCCATGTGTCTCTCTCAGCCACCCAGTCCTGCCTCACAAGCCATCAAGGCTCCTTCCCTATACCCTGTCAGTGTTACAGAAAATGTACCTTCCTATCCCCACATGGCTGAGAGCCAAAATGGCGCTGGCCACGTGTTACCTGGCCACATGGTGAATCCTCCTGTGTATTCCCTTTCTCCTACCCATAATCCCTCCCACCCACCAGTTCCTGCCCCTAACCCTTATCAAAATCCCTTTGTTCCCCCTGACATTCCACCCTGCTCCACCCCCCAGCCCTGCTTGGCCCCACCCTATGACCCTGTCCCCCGGGACTGTAACCCTATCCCCTATCCCTCCAGCCCCTGTCCCGCGGGGAGGAGGTGTGAGGAGGGAGAGAGTTACACCCCTTGCTCCTGCAGAGGGGCAGGGGGAGGGGTGTCCCGGCCCTGCACCCCGATGGGGGGGTGCCAGCCTACCAGGCCTGGCATGGTGGGGTGCGGGCTCTCTCCCAGCTCCTGCAGGGGTGGGGCTGGGTCTCTCCACCAGCCCGGTGAGGGAATGGGACCCCCGGGGCCCAGCGTGGGGAAGTGTGGACCCCTGGGGCCCGGCATGGAGGGGGGCAGACCCCTGGGGCCCGGCATGAGGGGGGGCGGCCCCCCCCTGGCTCCTGCGGGGGAGGAGCTGTGTCTCTCCACAGGTGTGAGGAAGAAACGGGCACCCCAGGGCTCGGCGTGGGGGGGGGTGGGCAAAGAAGCCCAGGGAATGTCAGCCCTGGAGAAGATGAAGTTATGCTAACAGCAGCTCCTGTAGTATACAATAACAGCAGAGGAGCAATGTGATTACAACATCAGCCTTTCAATTACCAAGTAATCAAAGATATTTGTAAAATTAAAAATTATTTTGGTCATGATAGTGAAGTCTTGAGGGGAATAATAAGAACTACATTGAAATCACAGGATTTAATTCCTGCAGATATTAAAGATTTATTTTGGTGTTTGCTAACTCCCTCTGAATATGATCTTTGGGAAAGCTTATAGAAAAGATCGTTAACAAAACTCCTAGCTGAACTCAAACAAAGTAATCAAAATGCACATGATACAGAGAACAATGAAATCACTTTAGAACATTTATGTGGGGAGGGAAATTGGATTAATCCTGCTGATCAAGTGAAAATATTAACAAAGTTTGTTGCAGATAAAGTTTGTGATGTGGCTGAAGACATTTTTAACCAATTACCAACAGTTGATATTCAAGTCAGTTATGTTAATATTAACCAGCTCCCATGTGAGAGTTTCTTACAGTTTGTAGATCGTCTGAGACTACAGATACAGAAACAAGT